ATAGGAATTTCAAATAGTTAATTTGATACTAATATCGATATATTTTTGTCAAATTTTTATGATATCTTCAAACATATATTTTATTCAAAAATAAAAATATCATTGTTTTCTCAAAATCATATAAAGTCATATTATAACATCGACTGAGATAAAAAATAAAATAAAATATTAAAATCACGATGTATCTTGTTGTATTGCGCGAGATAAACTTCTAGTATATATATAAAACAGATGCATTTGTATTTCCCGGACAACCAAGCGGCGTCGTATCAATACACAACGCTAAAAAGGCCAACGAACGCGTTGATCGCGTTTGTCAAGCGTCACGAACAACAATCGGTTAACAGAAAACAGATCCATTTCTGAGAAAATCAGAAAAACGAGTTCTTGCCACAAAATTCACGAATTTTTCTATATTCTTACATTGATCGCCTCAATTTCTCCCTTGATTGGGATAACTGTAAGCTTCCTCTTTTAAGTTGATGTTTGATATGTGTGCGATTTTTGTCCATTGTTGTCATCGATGAGCTTTCATCGTGAATTTGCCTTCTAATGGTGATAATAAACATATATTAGCGACTACTTACGATGCATGTGTTTATGGTTCTGTTTGACGACGTGTTTGTGTGTTTGTCATCATGATTCGAGTAAATCGGTGTTCACCTTTAATTTATAACAAATGAATATATCGTCTAGATCTTACCCCCAAATTTCCAAAACAAGAGCTTCATTGTGACATTGAATAGTCGAATGTGTTACTTTTTGCAAGTTCAGGTTCCTGTGGATTCCAATTTAAGCTGGAACAAGATTATGCTGAAATAACGTCATGGATATTGATTTTTCAATTTGATAAGGACCAGCTTTGATGTAAAAAATGCAGTTCTTTAGTTGAGGAAGTATATATTTCTACGACCCCGAATGAGAGTTTAGAATTTCATAATGTTAACAACTGATTTTATGAACTGTTACTTATCTACTTAAGAAGTTTAAAAGAAAAGAGACCGCATTAGTTTTTACTGAAGGGGTTGTACGAACTCTGAAAAAAAGGAAATTATAATGCATCTTTTAGTTCTGGAACTGGAAAGTGTAAGGATAAAGGGATCAACAGAAAACTTTCTATGGCAAAAGACGTGGCAATGTGGCATCTATTACCAAGAGAATTGAGTCCTTATGTTCAGTTATGTTATCACAAAGTCTTGATTACCTTTTTGGTATCTTGATTATGATTCCTCACTTTTTTGATCAAAGGTTGTGATTCTGTAGCCTCTTGATTTTGTGATTGCTGAAGTATGGTGAAGGACACTGCCTATTATGACATATTGGGAGTCGCTCCTGACGCATCTGCAGCCGATATTAAAAAGGCCTACTACCTCAAAGTAGGTTTACTTATTATTCATGTTAATCATAAAATGCGAAAAATCACAACAAAGAATATTTTTCATTCTTACTATAAATTACTAAATCATTATTGGTAACTTATTTGAATTCTTGAGAACCATGTTTGATAAAAGTGAACATATGATAACATGCCACATTGAAGTGTTACATGAATTACATTAATTTGGGTGATGTGTAGCATTCCTCCTTTAGATATGTCTTAACTGCCTACTTTTGTTATTTCCAATTTTTATTATTGGCAAAAAAATGAAGAGATATCAAGTGTGTTGAAGCAAATACTTACAGGTATTTGCATGCATATAGACTTCCTCAAGATTGTAAGCACGAATCTTCACCCAATTGTTCACATTTCCAGTCATTGATGAATAATTATGTTAACACCCTCTAGTCACCTGTGGACTATGTCAATAACTCAATATTCTCCTTTCTCATTTCAAGAATCCTATGAACCTAAGCCTGCCCATGTTGTAATGCAATTGTCAGTTGCATATTGGATCTAAGTACCAAGTGTATGAAATAGTATAGTTTGGGAACCTATAACTAGCTAATGCATGCAGAACATCACTGTGTTAGCATAGGATGTTTTGAAGTTTGGGACTATGATCTTGAGTCACATTTCAAGCACTAAAGCCTCAATGGTCAGCATGGAAAATATTGGGACAAATGCAAGCACTGAATAGTGGAAGCCAGAAATACAAGTACTAAAGGATCTTTCTCCTAGTCTTGATTTCCTAGTTCTAATACGTATTTTCTCCGATATACTTGCAAAGTTTATTGCTCAAAACTCAAGTGTGTAAGATGTCTCCTTGTTCTAGCCGAACTGTTGATAAATGATTCAATACTTAAAACATTAATAAGATAATCATTATCATGCTGTTCCACCTACCTTAGATACCCCGGCTGATCCACCCTCTTCTGTAATCTACTTTGGATCTCAGTTCTATGTAACCTTAAACTGTATCAACTCGTAGCAAATTGACCATCCTTGATCTGCTATGCATGCCATCAAGATTTGTGGAATCACTTGAATGCATAAGTTTAAGAATCCCATCATTGAAATGTCTAATCTACATTTCATGGTCGTCTACTGGTCTTATACCAGAATGCAGATCTCAAGAGTTTGGGCCATGAACCTATGGGCTGACCACTTGTGTTGTGTGCATTAGCATGTAGACCAACATTAGCTTGTCAAAAAGCACAAACTGCTTTGAATGAAGCTAGGGGATGGCCTTGCTTGTTCTTTACATGTCAGCCGCAATACTGGAACAGAATATGACGACTTGCACATCAACTATGATGCAAATCTTTGGCTCATTGTGCTTCAACTGTAGCATTAGCTATATGCTTGGATGGTTGGACCTATTATGGTGCTTATTGTGATGGCTTTGTGGAATGAAACATATTTTTCAGTTTAGACATTATAGGGAAACCTCAGCTATAATTTTTTTTTTTTATTAACCTGGATATCCAACCTGCTATGCGAGCCGACTAATCCCAGGACAACCACCTGCTTTGCAGGTAGCCCTGAGTCACCGCATTTGAACCTCCGTGGCCACAAGGGGATTTTTGTTCCTCCTTGGATTTGAACCTCGGACCTCCACGCACTTTTGACCTTTGGAGCCCAAGCTCAAACCAATCAGGAACCACCCCTGTGGTTAGCTATAAATAAAAATTTGACCACTAGATAATCTAATAAATAATGAAAGTGAATTCTTATAGATCCATCCCCCGAAGGAACCGGACATGATAATTTTTCATGGGGCGGTTGGAGTATGACGGGGGGACTATAACGAATCCGGGTATATATATATATATACATTTGAAAAAGGGAATGATCAACTTCATTATTAAATACCAAAAGTGGCTTCTTAGTTTGGGGCTAAAGCAATCATCATTTGTATTTTGAGTATGCATAAATGGTCGATGGTAGTTCAGAATTTCGCAATTAAATATGCTTTATGCCTGTGAATTTCTGTTTAGTGCTTAAGCATATGCTTCAATTTGTGGTTTCTGGGGTGTTGACTTATGCATGTAGTTTCTGGTCGATTGCTTTACCGGGCTAACTAATAGAAGGCCCAGAGCTGGAAGTGATCTTAGAAACCAATCGTGTTCTAGGAAAAAAAATTCCCAATATCGTATTGGCCTAGAAAGAATAAAACAAAATAAAGCTGCTTGATTAATATACAACTTATATATTGTAATTCTTTCATATGTTATATTTTAGGCAAAGATGGTTCACCCTGATAAAAATCCTGGGGATCCGAAAGCGGCCCAAAATTTCCAGGTGTGGTGTTTGGGTCAGTTATCTTTCTAGAATCCTGCATTAAATTCCTTGCAGTTTTCCATTTTAAATATCGAAGATAAATGGCTTTCACTTGCATTTCTTCACCATGAAGGCAATTGGAGAGGCTTATCAGGTTCTAAGTGATCCTCAGAAGCGTGAAGCATATGACACAAACGGAAAAGATGGAGTACGGCAGTAAGTATATTTCACTATTTCTTGTACGGAGGATCTTTTATTTCTTCATATTCTGACAATGTTAATTCAATGCTGTGCACCACTAATATTAATGCCTAGGGGGGGATACGTCGTTTAAACAAATGTCCAATATTCTTATAAACTCATATTTCTAGAGGTGGTTGTGACCCTTTGGGTAAATAGCAAATAACACTCAAGTTGCAAAAATATTGGAAAAGAAATGCTCTGTCGTCTCAACTCTCAAGTTAGATGAGTCCTTTATTTTGGCCTTTTCATCATATTAACCAATATTTACATCTTTGTTTTCTGGTTTTCTTATTTAAGAATTGTTCAATAGAAACAACTCATCAACATTGTATTTCAAAACATGTTCTTCATCAACTTCTGCACATAGAAGTTCATTTTTTAAATAAAATCTAGCAATTACAACCTTTTAGATGGTTGGTGACAAAACAAATTTCATTTTTTATAGATAAATCTACATTAAAAACAGCTTGTACTTAAAATATTAGTAGTGATTTGTGATCATCTGTGTAATCTTTATGTTCGAGTAACATTTAATTAAACTACCGTCCTTGTGTGGTCTGAGTTTCTTCTCGAGGTTTGAATTCAAAACTACAGTCTGAATTTCTGTGAATGGCATATTGGTTTTTGCTTTATAAGATAGTGTCCGGCTAAAGGACGACATTTGAAATGATGGTATCAAATTTTCAAATAAATGGTGGGTACAGCATACTCTAAGATAGCAGGTTTGTCTTTTTAATCTGCAGATTCAATTCATTAAATATAAAACTGTATGAGATCTGAGCATCCAAGGGAAATTCACACTACTTATGTTAGGAATCATTTGTTTTCCAACCACTTTTCACTGTTTGTTCATATCTAGTGGAAGTTTGAAATTGCACTATGTATTGCAATTCCTTTCACAGGGAGGCAATGGTGGATCCTGCAGCTGTTTTTGGCATGGTATTTGGTAGTGATATGTTTGAGGATTATATCGGGGAGCTTTATATGGCAACTGTACAGACTGTAGAGCTTGAAGAGACTTCAAAGGAACCTGAAGTTCGCAGAACAAAAATTCAAGAGAGGATGAAGGTATTCAACCTTGTTACTCGAGATCTTGTATGCTAACACATGTTAAAACTTTCCTTTTTTTGTTGCACAGGTGTTACAAAAGGAGAGGGAAACTAAGCTCATAGCAATTCTAAAAGATCGCCTTCGACCATTTGTTGAAGGCCAAGTAGAGGAGTTTGTAGCTTGGGCGACATCAGAAGCTACCCGTCTTTCAGAAGCAAGTATGCTCTTGGTTACAACCCCTATCATTTATATAAATGCGGCCTATCTTTATTGCTGTGTACAATTACACTCATTTCTTTAATAGTTCTAATTTTGATTTCGTAGAGCACTCTTTTTTGTAACCATGTTGTTTGAACCAGCTTATATCACACCTCAACTAATCCCATGGGCCCCTGAAGTTCAGTGGCCTTGAGGGGACTTGAACCTCTGACCTATGAGGAGCAAACCCTGTTGACTACTCCCCAAAGGGTTACCATAGAGCACTCTTCTTGAATAGTTTTGCCCATCGAAAAGGCAAATACAAGGACAATTACTTCCCAGTTGTTGCTTGAATATACTTGGAAAAATATGATGGTATAGTATAGGAAGGTGCTTCTCTTTATTTTAAGAACAGAAAAAGCTCATGGTTTGGAAGTGCCTCCTGAGTCCAAGTAAATGCGACATCATGATGTCTATAGTTCAATGAATCTATCTTTGAGTACCAATATGTTTCACTTGATATCTGCATGAAGCAGTGGACCGTGCTGTAAGAAATAGATTTCAGTTGTTGATTTTGACCAACTTTCCTTCATCTTGTTGGAATACTGAAAGAGAACCATCTGATTGCATCCAACTTCGTTTGTTTCTTCTCAGACAATCACTTATGCACCTTCGTAACCACAAAATTAGTAGTTCTACTTGCAAGCTTCGAAGACTTTATTGCAATCTACTTGAAATTTATCAACCATGTCAAGAATGTTATCGGGTATCTTAATCCTATGCATCACATAACATTAAATTGTAAGACAAGAACTTTCAATTCTTGCTGTTTTGGTGATTGAAATTTTACTTTTGTCGCATTCCTAGATGTATTTCTTCGTAAGATAACTAAAATGGTTAGTTAGTTGGAGCAGGAGCGTATATTCTTTTCCACATGTATTTTGTTTTCCCTCGAAAATAGGATGCAGCAGTGTAATTGGAATTCATTCAGAAAATAGTCAATACCAATCTCTTCTATCATCTCTTTTCTCTGGTTTTTATCTACTGATTGAGTGTAATACCAATTGGCCTTTTCATCGGTATCAGAGCGGTCCGATCCTATTTGAGTCATTTTGGCTCCTGCTACAACAAGGAAGTCAGCAACAATGGAGGAACAAATCCAGGCGTTGGAGAAGAAAATTGAAGAACAGAACAAAAGATTTGATAATCAAAGCAAGAAATTCGAAGAATTAATGCAGTTGATGCGAGATATGCAGACACGGGATCATCAGTCTCGAAACATCGGCAGTAGCGAGCTGAATTCGAACCAACGTACTCTTGGGTACGTACCAAAGCTTGAATTTCCGAAGTTTGAACTAACCCTAGATTTTGGATTAAAAAGTGTTTGTAAGTATTTCTCGTTGTGTAAAATACCAGAATGTCAACGAGTGGATGTAGCCTCGTTAAACATGGTAGACAAGGCTGGGAACTGGGTTTCTAGTTATTTGTCAGTAAGGACGAACGCAGACTGGAACAATTTTGTTATTGACCTTACCGCACGATTCAAGGACGAATATGGAATGAACGTGGCTGAGCAATTCAACAAGCATCAGCAACATGATTTCCTAGAAGTTTATATTGATGAATTTGAAAATCTGAGGGCTATAATGCTGCAAAACAGCCAGATTCCTACGTCTTGGACAGTTCTATTGGAGGCCTAAAATCTGCAGTTAAACCGATTTTGAGGGCTTTCAATCCGACGTCGTTGGCTGGAGCAATAGAGTTTGCAAGGCTACAAGAAGAATCTTTGAGTTTCATTAATCCACAGTCTACATCTCCTACTTAAGCCAATTATTTTGTCTCCTAAACCTATATCCTCTGTACCTACGGTATGCTGGCAAACAATACCAACACTCTCGAACAAGATAATGCCACTTTCTTTGACAAAATCAAGCGTCGAACGTGTCAAAAACTTCAGATACATTCCTGCAGATGTAAGGGCAGAAAAAATTGCAAGGGATTATGTTATTATTGCGGCCAACCGTATGACAGGCAGCATAAATGTCAATTCAGGGAACATGAATTGTTTACAATGGAAATCCGTAGGAATGAAGAACGAGGTGGTGTTACAAATGGAAACAATCCAGAGGAGTTGCTCAATAAAATCTTGGAACCTTGTCTTTTGGTAAATGCTTTCACAGGAAATCAGAATTTTCTCATCATGAGAGTTAGAGGCATGGTGGATAGGAAGCCTCTACACATCCTGGTGGATTCAGGAAATACCCATAATTTCTTGGATTTGTCAGTAGCCAAGAAATTAGGGTGTAGGCTGCAGTTGGTTTCTCCTCGAGTTCTAACAGTGGCGGATGGTAATCATTTGGCTTATTAATAGAAACAGAAAAATTGAGAAGACAAGCTGAATGATTAAAAGAGGAAAAATGAGCTGAAGCTCTACAATGAACAAGGAAAATTATCCAGAGTCTGGGACTCCTCTCCAGAGAGTTCTCTCCTAACAAAATAGACAACAAATAACAGAATGATTCCCCTTTTTC